CATACCTATGTTGTAAGACCATTTCCAGGAAGCAGACATTGTGCTAACACGTCTGTAAGGAATGCTGTCAGCTCACACACTGTGAACACACACGACACACCTGATTATCTGTTATTGATCTGCTGCCAGTCAATTATGTGATTATCTCTAATTAATTAATAAGGTGATGCACAGTTTTCGTCAGTCTTGTGTCAGTGATTGACGCCTGGCTTAGGAGACTGAACAGGCCAAAGTCAGAACAAACAAACCCTGGTGGAATCAGTGACATGCTCCGAGTTTCCCGTCAGGTCTCTGTCACATTTCTCTTCTGAATCAGAGTAACACAGGTGACTATGCACAGTGTGAGCAAGTGTCCACACAGCAGGACTGTACATGATGTAGAGCTGCCAGGATGTAAACACAAACCCACACTGGTCTGTGTTTTCCTAGTTGCAGCACAGTTCTTCAGTGTGCACGACGTAGTGATTTCAGACACATCCACAGGGGGTGATGGGAGCACAGACATGTCTGCACCCCTCCCACCTCTCCTGGTGCAGCAAACCCCTCTACAGCATGTTTTCTTTTGATTTCCAATGTGTTTTTGGATTTAGAAGGCGTTTCTTTAATGTTCATGCGCTCACTGTTGCATGTGTTTTATCCCTCAGGGCCACTCTGGATACTGAGCCTTGTGCAACTACAGCTGACTGGAATCAGATGAGCTGAAGTCTGGGGAGTCTCAGAAGGCCTCGAGAACTTCTGTACATTTCTCATGTTTGTCTTCAGTCTACCTTCGCCTGGGCCTCCTCCCATGGCAGTAAATGCAAACATGGATTGTTATATGATAAACTCACAAACAAGGCTGATGTGTCATTTGCAAACAGCTGGACCTTTGTGTAAATGTAACCAAGTGGTTACAGCGCAGTGCACAGTATACTACAGTCCACGTATCTGCAATGTGGTTGATGTATCTACTCCAACTGACATTTGTCACAGGTCTCTCTCGGCACTCTGTCTGCCTCTCAGTGATTTGCTATAAAGGCTAAAACGTCTAAAAACATAAGTTAGACAAACTAAGCATTCTAGGTGGTTTTTCAGATGTTCTATGGAACAGTTGGCGTTAAACTTTTTGTTTTGTGACTAGGGAACACTTGGTGTGTTAAACATTTTGTTTTGTGACTAGGGAACACTTGGTGTGTTAAACATTTTGTTTTGTGACTAGGGAGCACTTGGTGTGTTAAACTTTTTGTTTTTTGACTGTCTGAGCTGTGATTGGGGGAGATTTGTGTCACAGCTGCAGAAAACATTAGGCGTTTTGGTCTGTGGAGAGTAAATACATGGCTGGAGACACAGTGCCTGAAGAAAAGATGTCAGAAGAAATTATGACATCTTTTAGGTCAAGTCCAAGTCATGTTGCAAGTCCTCATCTTCTCACCTGGAGTCTGTATCTTTATTAAATGTAATATGTTTTTTTTTTTAAAGCATCAGTGAAACCAGTGACACTAAATCATTCAGCAAAGGTCATTTAATGGTACATGTACCCCCCATGGAGTTATTTGACCTTTGACCTCTCATTTGCTCTGGTTACCACAAGGGGGGTGGGGGGTGAACTGGAACCAGCTGGAAGCTGGTGCCTATTTTTAAGTCTATGTGTTTGTTGAAGACGGCACGGTGGTGCAGTGGTTCCAGGTTCAAACTTGTATTCTGGCTTCTTCCCACAGTCCAGACACATGCAGGATAGGTTGACTGGTGACTCTAAACTGGCTGTAGGTGTGGCTGTCTGTCCAGGTGTACCCTGCCTCTACTGGACACTGGAACAGACGTCACTACAAGTCAGCATTTAAAAAGTGTGTAAGTTTTATCAGCACAATATACTTAAAGTACCAAAAGTAGAAGTCCTCATTATACAGTCACTTGTTTTCCTCCAGCTGACCTCTGACCTATGACCAGATACAAACACACAGCCATAAACACACACACGTGCACACTAAAACACATCCTGAAACACACAGGTCTGGAGGTTTGGAAGCCTCATGCTGCCACGCAGCCGTCGCTTTCTCCAATAGCCTGTAATGAGATGGCAAAAAGAGCCAAGATGGCTGCCACCGTGTCATTAGCAGTGGAAATGTGGTCGGTTATTAGAGATGGAATATCAGCGCGAGCTGCGGTGACTTAGAGAGAGGCTGTTAGCTGATCCACAGGAAGCAGCCGAGACCACGGCAGCTGTCTCTGATCAGGAGGAGGACGCAGGAACTCGTGACAGAGGTGAATCTGTTGCTCAGGGCAGTGGGTGGACAAACTATTAGAAATACCTCTCAACATAATGCAGTCCAGTTGAATAGCAGCACAAGCTCCAGCTCCACAACGATCACACAGCTGGACCATCACCTCTCTGCAACACACAAACTGAACATTATCACCTTCATGGAGGAGGATTTACTGCAGGACTGTTGCATCAGACCGGCTCAGTTTAGCACAGGTGTTCCAAATAAAGTGCCTGAGTGTGTATAAAACACCAGGTGGCTTTCCAAAGAGTGGAGAGTGTGAGCGTGCTGGGCAGACCTTGTAGAAATTCATTATACTCTTTCACAGTGTGTGGACTCTACTCACACACCCGTGTGGCACATATCTGCCTCCTCTTTACTGGGCGACACAGAAAGAATGGAGGCAGAAATCTAAAAATGAAAATGGAGCCACAGACGGCCTTGTGCAAATTTGACCAGGCGCTGAAATAATTCAGGGTTCCAGCTTAGTCCGTAGTTTGACTCAGGTTTAAGTTAGTTCAGGCCACAACTACCAAACCATCATCACGGGTCTTTTTCTGTTGAGTGGTAAATGGTGCAACGAAGTGCTTGAGTTCATGTCTGAGTTGGGGCTTGCTGAGCTGCTGTTTGGGGTTGAAAGCTGTCGTCCTTTTGTTTGATGACGACCTTCTGACCCCTGCTGAGGAGGCAGGCGTGCACACACACACACACACACACACACACAATTTGGAGGCTAATTGTCAGGAGGAAAGTGCTTTGTGGAATGTTTGACTTTGGAATAACACTGCCAGGAACTGAGTCTGTGTGTGTGTGTGTGTGTGTCCATATTCTTTAGGGTTGTTTACATCTGCTTCTGTTTGTGTATGCACTCCATGTGTGTGTTGTCCCAAGGCTGTGTTTGACCAGGGCACCGGCCCAGACTGGTGTCCTGGCTGCCTCTAAAAGGAACAGACGTGGTGGGTTTCAGTTGCTTAGTGTGTGGAGACGTGCACACGCTGTAGGTGTCAGATGGTTTTTGAGTCAAACTACAGATCACTGTTTCACTGTTTTATATTTTGTTGTCCCAAATGAAGCAAACACTAAAATGATAAAGTCAGGCACTAAAATTATATTAAAATCTTGTGAAATACCAAAAAAAAGTCACCACAAGTTCCCAGAGTGCAGAATGATGCGTTATGTCTGACCACCAGTGTAAAAACCCAACGAGATTCAGTTTGATATAAAACAGAGGAAATTACAGTTTCACATCTTCACACTGGAAAAGCTGCACATTTTGCTGACAAGTGGTTTAAATGATCAATTGATTATTCAAATATGGGTCTGATTCATTCCGACTGATCTCTGACCTGTGTCAAGCAGAAGCAACCAGACTGTCAAGAATTCCAAGTCACTGAGCCGAGTGCAGCTCCCTGAAACCCTGACGCTCGCTCACTAACATTGGACAGCAGTACAGTCCCTTAGCGACAGACGAGCTTGTCTTGTTCCTCCTTTAAGAAGAACCGTGATGGTGCTATTTCACCAGTCAACACACTGTTCAAGCAGCAACAATCCAAAAATAAAAAAAAAGACCCGCCAAGAGGTGACTTGTTGGAAGAATCTTTATTTTGCCAACACAGCATCCTGCTACAGGTCAGTTTTTCAAATCGGGGGTCAGGCTCCGTAACAGTGTGTCTGTAGATGTGAAACTTATCTGTGGTCTCATTGCAGATGTTTACGTTTACTTACAACGTGCCTCTGCACGCACCTCTCCGACTGAAGACAGCACGTAAACTGGTTTTGCTTTGTAATAAGGTGAGCTACCTTGTGTGTTACACCTGTGGTTGCCATGTCGACTGCCTCTGTTTACTGCCTGTTGTTGCTGATTAGTTTGTGTGAGTACATGTGTGAGTCAACCGGCAGCAGTTGTGCACAGTCAGCTGGCACATCAGTCTAAGTCTCAGGGTTATGAGGAGGTGCATTCAAAAGAAGAACCAGTTAACTGTACTGTAGACAAAGTAGTAAACCAATCTAAGTGTTTAGTGTCCATCTCTTGGTTGTTTAAAAAGCTCTGGCCTCAGCCTGCACCTTCAACACAGTGTTGGCAGACACAACAGGGTGGCATATGAAAAACCACCACCCAGAAGGGCCGTGTCTCCAGGGCCTTGTCAGGTCTCCTCTGTCGGAGGAGGAAACCTCCTCCTTCTAAACCAGATCCCCTCACTGTGTCTGACCCCCTGTGTCTGACCCCCTGTGTCTGACCCACTGTGTCCGACCCACTGTGTCGTCCTCATGAAGCCATTCAGTGACCTAGAGCTGCAGCCATGAGTCAGTTCGCTGGTAGAAAATGACCCTCAGCTATTTAGAATCAACAGTCACCGACATGTTCTGGTTCCACCTTCTTTAATGTGAGGAGCTGATGCTTTTCTTTGTCAGACATGAGAATCAGCTGAGTCTCTGTGGATCTGCTGGTTGTGGAGACGCCACCTTTGGCTCTGGAGAGTCATAGTGGGACTTTTTCCTAGTGTCTGACATTCTGGGAGTAAACTGATCAATCAGATCATCAGGGCAGTGATCAGCTGCTCGATCAGTGATCCTGCTGGTTGGATTTCCGTTCAGTCAGGAGTCTCCTTTCATTGGACATCCCTGTATTGTCCATGCCACAGCAGGAGAAGCACAGGTGTAACTAATAACACCAATAGTGGGCCTATTGCACATATTGGCTGACCTGAACTGAGCTACAGTTTATTTTATCAGTTACATCTATACTTTGCAGGGGGCGTCCACATACTTTTGTTTCCATTAACACACGCACCGTGTACCGTGAGTTGGAAGAAGCCCTGACTTCTGTTCAGAAACAGCTGAAAGTGAAATTAACTTTCACTGCTGAATGAACCGTGAACACCTCGGAGGATGTTTCAACCCAACTGGCGAAATCTCCAGGATTACAACACACATTCCAGAGTGAAGCTGTTTCTTTGAAAGTGTTTGTTCGCTCGTAAAAACCTGGACGGTTGTCAGGAGTTTCTCCCTCTCTGGTTTTTGGACCTCCCTCCCTCGCGTTCTCCCTCCCCCCATCGCTCCACTGCAGCGACACGGGGTCGAGCCGACTCTCCGCCGCCCGGAGCTCATCGCCAAACCACTAAATCGCATCTTTCACCGGGAGACCGACCTTCTTAACACGCTAAATGTCAGCCTAAAGCTTTGGTTCTTCCGTCATTAACCGTCTGATCTTGGAGCGGACGGTGAAGATTTTGCTCTTTGTGCGTAAAACCTGCCCAAGTAGGTTAGTGGACAAACTGGAGGATTGACAAGTAAAAGTTTTGGAAATACAGTGCAGGTTGTGTGATCGTGCGCGTTGTGTGTGAGAGAGGAAAGTTGTTGAAAGTTCGGAAAGTGCTTGGTCCAATGCGTCCGGGGCGGCCGGTTAAACAGCAGGATCACCGGAGAAAGAGAGCGCGAGTGGGAAAGGAGCTGAGGTCAGCGGGGTCAGCGGGGGCTCACCGGCTGCTGGACGTACATGTCTCCACTCCCCACCGGCACCGAGGTACACGCACACTTCACTCTGCTGAACTACACTTTCCATGTTACATCTGTACAAACAACACCCACTGGTTTCATGAAGCAGACGTGGACCTCCCTCCACATGAAGACACGACACGCATATAGAAACACGAACATAAAATAAGATCATGTTCATGTGCTAATTCTCATATACAAAGAAACGCCTTTCAAAATAAAAGCTCCAACCTGTCTTCAATCGATCACAGTATTGATCATTTGAAAGCTTCATCCATCGTCATGTTTTGTAAAGATTTTCTCTCATGGACGTTTTTGTATCCACCTACATGAGCTGCGTCTATTTTGAGTGCGGCGGCGCGCGTGCACGTGTCGTGGAAGCGTGTAGCTGACAGTGAGTGTTTTACATTTTTGCGCAAGTCTGTGGTGCTGTCCTCTCTGGCTCACGCACATGTGCGCTATGATTCTACAATCTTCATCACTGCAGTGTGAGGATGACGAAGTCCCCCGCTGCCTCAGGTCCGGTGGCCATGCTCTGATCTCCGGACCTTCTCTCAGCGTAATCCAGGTCCACTTGGACACAAGCCGCTAATTTAATTAGCGGTTGCAGTCCCATCCCTGACCCCGATCTGACTTATGACCCTTGACTCCAAGCAAACGGCTACATCATCATCTTGTTGTGTCCAGTTGCTTTAGGAGGCTGTAACGGGCACCACAGGCTGCAGGGGCCACTAGGACTGTTCAGGCTGTAGTCAGTGTATTTGAAACGACGATTTAAACTAAATTAATGTAACATGGTTCAGTCGTTATGTTTCCAGCTGTTAAGGAGTAAAACATCTGACATCCATTAGTTATTCGATGTAGTTTAACCCTTTGAACCAAATGGTTTTTGTTGGTTTCCTCTCCCTTATTTTGCACATCTTCACCACATACCATATAATAGCATATACATGTTACTTTCACTAAGTTGGCTTCAGGAAGCCATCACTGTGCATGACTTGTACTATACATGTCCAAGGACAATTAGGCTGTTATTAAAAATGCACTTAGGTTAAACAGAGAGCTGATGCTTTGAAATCTAGACGGAGGTCAGGGAGATAACATAAATGGAATCCCCTCGTCCTGTTTGCACTCTCTGTCTGTGTCACTTTCCCCCGTCTCATCTTTCAAACACTTCTCAAAACAAACTTCCCACACACAAAGAATGTGGAACGTCAGTGAGACAGAGAGAGACAGAGACGGTCCAGAAGTAAGGACAGGGTGGCAGCTAAACTTTTATATGTATGAGTAAACGATTGGATTAAAAAACAAACCATGGTGCCTAAAAAGTATAATTGAATGTATGTTCTGTGTTATTCTACTAATTCCTTGTGCAGGACCAAACTAACGTCTCTGAGCCACAGAGCTCCACCGTGTCCAGAAACCATTAAATCAGTGACCACACTGTTCACTGGGTGACATGTTCCTTCATCATCATGAACACACACTGGAGTTTATTCTAACTCAGTCCCACATAAACTGTCCTGCTGCCACAAACACTCACTGGAGACCAAAATACGATTCATCAGCCTCTGAAAATAGACCACAATAGATGCAGTGTCCTCCAGTTTGTTTGATGAAAACTACCAGGAGCAGAACATTTCAGAAGAGACTAAACTGTGTGTTGTTGACTTCACTTAAAGTGCAAGTGAAGTCTTTAGATGTGGAACACCTCACAGCGGAGCAGCGGTCAGTGCTGTCACCTCACAGCAAGAAGGTTCCAGGTTTGAGCCCCGGCCGACCCGAGGCCTTTCTGTGTGGAGTCTCCATGTTCTCCCTGTGCCTGTGTGGGTTCTCTCCAGCTTCATCCCACAGTCCAGAGACATGCAGCTCAGGTTGATTGGTGACTCTAAACTGCCCGTAGGAGTGAGTGTGGTTGTTTGTCTACACGTCAGGCCTGTGACACCTGTCCAGAGTGGACCCCGCCTCTCGCCCAGTGTCAGCTGGGATTGGCTCCAGCCCCCCTATGACTTTATTCAGGAATAAGTGGTGTAGATAATGGATGGATGGTTGCCACAAGTGTGGGTCAGTCATTGTTCCCATTCACACAGTGAGTAGGAAGTCAGTGGAGGCACAGAGTCACTTGTGTTTTATAGACCATGAGTAGATGTCGTCCAGTCAGCTGATAACTGAAACTATTAAAAACATATCAGTGTGTCCTGGTTCTCCCTAAAGACTGAGACAGATATGTTTGGCCCTGTTGGTCTCACACACAACTTTTTTTCTTCGATGTCCTCAAAGTTCAGAGCTGTGCGACGTGAACATAAAATCCGTCCTCACTGGCTGACACCCAGAAACGCGGTGACTAATCACACACACCATTTAACTGTGTGTGTCTTTTGGCTTTAAACTATGTGTGTGTGTGTGTGTGTGTGTGTGTGTGTGTGTGTGTGTGTGAAGGCACAATCACTGGGGATTGCATCCTTGGTTGTCTTCCAGTAAGGCCCATTGATTATTGTCTAAGAAAAACACTGATGGAATCACAGTGTGTGTGTTGGCAGGCAGATGTCAGCTGAGTCCTTCTGAGCATCGATCTTAGTCTTTGTCAAGAACAAACACATGTCAGTGTTTAAAATGGATTCAACACAAATGGGATGTTTGTGTGCTAAAAAATTTCACTTGGCTGACAAGTGACTGCTGTGAGAGTTAGTACAGGACATGTGAGACACTGCTTCTCCAGGCTGCACGATATGTTAAACGTACACAATGTCCATGAAACATGCCAGTCACTGCTCAGCCACCAGGGGCAACTCAGGGTCTTGCCCAGCTACACTCTGACACGTGGACTGGGGAGATGGGGAATTGAACCACCAACCTTCTGATTGAGAGACGACCACTCTACCTCTTGAGCTACCGCCGCCCCGTGTGGCCCATGAGACGCTCTGTAGCACAGTGGATAGCATGTTGGCCTTCTAGATAAGAAATGATTCAAAGGTTGGGGGTTCAAGTCCCACCAGAGTTGGAACTGAGGAAAGACACAGCTGTAATCAGTCACTAACTGTGAACCTCAGGACTGTAGGAAGTGCATGTGCATCTACATTTATTGTGGGTTCAGCTTTGACCAGAGTCAACCTTTAAATGTCGCAGTCACGGAGACGAGGCCTGCGTGAACCATCAAATTAATCCCAGGTTGAACAAAACCTTTCGTGTGAACTAATGAGCTTTGTGCAGAGAAACTCCCGCACTGAGCTCAGACTGTGAGAGGGTTGGAGCTGGACTGGGGGAGGGACGCAGGCCTCACTTCAGCTTTGTGAAAGTAATAAACATAAAACTGCATTTTCAACAGGCGCTCAGCTCTTATTACCACACATTGCTTTTCTTCTTCCTCCATTAGACCAGACAAGCTCTGCTCCTCTCGTTTGTGCCTTCTCTTCTGTCTCTTTTGCCGTATCCCCCCTCTGTCCTTTCACTTCTTTCTCCTCTTGCCTTCTCTCTTTCTTTCCTTCTTTCTTTCTTTGGCCTCCTTCTGTCTCTTTCCTGCAAACTCTGGTGTTAACACGCCTTCAGTTAAGTGGCTCTGTGGCACAGTGGGTAGTGTGTTGACCTACTCACATGTATCCAGGCAAACTGTGGGTTCATGTTCCACCACAGTTGAACTTTAAGGAGAATCATGAGCAACACCGTAGGATTACATGTTTAAATAAAACCCTTCAGGCCAATTTGAGGCACGTTAACAGCATGTGTGTGTTAAACAGTTTCTCACATGGCCAGAGGCCTCTGCTCTGTTCCATCTGAGAGACTCTGTGCCTGGTTAAAACACAAGGAGCCATTGATTTCAAAGGCACACAGAACTCAAATGCACCCCAACCATTTCAAGTATTTGGAACCAGTCTTAATATAGTGCCTGTGCAGGGTAATTGAGGGATATGGGAGGATCGTTTCCTCAGCGACCAGTGTTTGTCGTTTATAATAATTAGCCCAACAATTTAGTGAAGTCTGAGGTTAGACAGAGGCTCTACTGTGTGTGTGTGTGTCTGTGGTTTACATTTTGTTGCCTGAGACAGTTTTTCCAACCTCAGAGCAATGCAGTAAACAACATAAACAACACACAGACACATGGATGCATGGATACATACGTATCTGCCCTGAGGGGCGAGGAGGCTGCTGGAGGAGTCACGAGCAAGGACACATGAGAGCCACCTTCCTGGATGTTTTCTATGAACCGACACACCCCTTTATCAGAACTGAGTTGGTGATTGGACTCCTCAGATGAAGGATCAGAGGAAAGGTCATTGCATGTTGTTAACGTTTCCTCGAGTCCTCTCTCCTCATGTGTTCGTCACACCTTACATGGGCAGGACCAAGAGACAAGGAAGAGGAGAAAAGGAGAGGAGAGAAGCTCAGAGCATCACGGTGCACGGTACCTTCATCAGCCACTGTACCACCTACTATGGAGAGTGAGTTGGGTTTATAGTTGAACCCAGGAGAAGTGATTCAAGGGTTGTAGGTTTGGGTCCCAGACCAGTCAGCTGTGTGTATATACTGTTCATTTTCCTGGTCCTACTGTTGCTATACACTATTTGCTCTGCTTGTTCTTGCTGTCAGGAGGTCGCCATCATATTTTGTTCAGTAGTGCACGTGTGAAGTCCACATACACACTCTCTAGCCCTAATTGTACTGTGACTACCAGCACGTCCGAGTCAGCAGTCATCGTTTGTGTAAGGATGAGCAGACGATGAAGGCTCTTAAAGGAGCAGTGAATTTCCAAAGAGAGCAGGTCTGCAAGGATTGAAACCCGTCTCACCGAACTGAGATTTGAGTCTGAGTCTGGCACAGTGAGGTGTGATTTCAACAGACAGCTGGTCAAACCTCACAGGTCTCCTGATGTCTTGTTGACTAATGCAGCATGAGGCGGACACTCCTCTACAGTGTGTTTGGCTGCACTGTACACAGACCCAGCAGCTCTTCTTCTTCTCCTCCTGTTGTCTTTCTCCAGACATTGTCACTGGTCAGCTGCTCCCGCCCGTCGATGCCTGCGTCACCACCAGC